ATGCAGTGACTACTATCGTGCAGGTTCTGTTTCCAGGGAACTGCAAATGTTGAAATCTGACTGATCTTTGACAGGAAAGATGATAATAAAAAGGTTTCTGTGGAAAAGACAAAACCAGCCAGAATTGATACTGAACTAATGGCATCAGATAAAAATATTATCAGAGATCAACAAAGCTGCAGGAAATGTAGCACTAACTTGGACAACTGCGATAAGAGAGATATATTGTTTTAGCAATGTTCAGAGATGCTACCAAAGGCAGGTGTGCTGAGACCCTCTGTAATATTTATTCTCCTGCATATTCTCAGAGTTTAAACATTGTGTGTAGGCAGTTAGCTGGCACAATGGCTTCGAACATTAGAATGCTACATTTTTTGCCTCTGGGCACTTGGGAATGATCAGATGGTAGTAGTGACAAGTAGCTGTAGAATGAGTTGATGGCTGCAACCAACAGACTTTGAGATTACGATGAGAATGAGCCTTGAAAAGGTCATAAAGGTGGCACTTGTGTTTGTCTGTGGTGGCAAGGTGAAAACTTCTAAATAGGGCTGGATTTTTAAAAGTGTCATCACACAGTAGAAAAAGCATCTCCATTTTTCAGCAGTCCAAATAGTTCTACATTTTACACAAGCATAAGTGTCATTAAAAAAATAACTATGGGCAACATGGTGCATTAACCTCAAACTGTATTTGCACAGTGAACGGCTGTAGATAAAGTCAAACTTTTTCAAAAGCAAACAAAGGGGTAGAGGAAATTTGGAAAGAGAAACAGTTTTGAGACATAGGTTTAGTGAATCATTCGAATAACTTCTTTCTCACAAATGTAAAATCTTTAAAACGCACAGGATCAGGAGGAAGAAACTAATTGTGGCAACATTGAGAGATATCCCAGAGTTTATTGTTCATGGAATCACTGTTATCAGCTCATCAGTTGAGTGATGGGGCAAAAAAAATTCAGTCCATTTAGTATTTAGTATCATCCTAGAATCCCTACAGTGTGGAAGCATGCTTTTCAGCCCACATTGACCCTCCAAAGAACATCCCCCCCACCCTATCTCTATAATCCTGCATTACCCATGGTTAACACACCTAGCCTGAGATCTCTGGACACCAAGGGGCAATTTCCCATGGCCAATCCACCTAACCTGCACATCTTTGGACTGTGGGAGGAAACAGGAGCACTCAGACACAGGGAGGACATGCAAAGTCCACACAGACAGTCACCCAAGGCTGGAATCAAACCCAGGTCTCCAGCACCATAAGGCAGCAGTGCTAACCACCGAACCACATCCACTAGTACTAAGACGTATTCTGTAGCTCTAAATATAGGTGCTTATTATCTGTTGTAACTCTATGTCCCGCACAAATGGCAGACAGTATCCTTTTAGTCTGAAATGTCAAGAACTCTGGTCTCAAGAAATGTTCTACCACAGAGTTTGCTCTAGTTCAGGTTCGTTCATTTACAACACGGAGCTCAGAATGAAATTGAGCCATCAAATTTGTCTTGAAAGAATGACCCTAATTATTCACCCTCCAAACATGCACATAAATTGTTTCATTTCGTTTTGTTAAAAAAAAATCCACCGGTCAGTCAGCGTGAGAATAGATTCACAACTGATTGGCTGAGCATTCCCAAGGTAAGGATTCAAATTAATTTTGAATCTTCAGTATGCACTGAGCAGTTTAAACAAGACAAACAAGAATATGGAAATGAATGAGAAAGAGTAATTTGCATTCCCAGTCACACTTCATGATGACATTGGCAAACAGCTACATGGCTTAACAACAATGCTTGGCTTTTTTATACCAAGCCAGTGTTGGTAAGTGAGTGATAATATTCATTATTCGTGAAATAATCCCTAATTATAGTCTGCAGATAGGAACAATGAACATTTCTTTTTCCCTGTGGTTACTTGACTGACACAGCTTTCCACAGCAGTTTCACTGAATATATTACAGATATCAACATGACAGCACATATTTCTTATATGATTTTACACTTTCCGAACAAGCAGTGACTGATATTAGTGTCTCATTGCAGGACTGAGCTAGAGCTAAAACTGACAGAAACACTATCTCAAGTAGGATGACATGTGCAGCTTTCACCACTGCATTTTCAGATAGCTCTCAAGAAAACTGAGGTTGTTTTAGAATGCAGTAAGTCCAGTTCCGGAACATTATTTATTTACAATGTGTAATTAGTCGTGGGTCACAGAGCACTCCAGTCTCTGGGTTTGAAAGTTTTGGGTTCAACACCCACTCTACATGCTTGATTTGATTTGATTTATTGTAATCATGTGTACCTAAGTACAGTGAAAAGCTTTGTCTTACAAACAGTACAGGCAGATCATAGCAAACAAGGACATACAAATCAAAGGATGCTTAGACAGAGTGAGGCATACAGGTTACACTGCGCAGGAGGTGCGCAGAGCAAGATCAACATTAATAAGATCAACATTATTTGAAGTGAGACAGGTCCATTCATCAGTCTAACAACGGCAGGGAAGAAGCTGTTCTTGAACCTGAATCTTGACTGAGGGAGTGCTGCACTGTTGAAGGTGCCATTTCTTCAAATGGGGTACTGAATTGAAGCCCCTGCCTGCCTTCTCAGCTAGGTGTGTGTGATCCCATGTGTGTACAGGATTATTTGCAGGAAACATAGGGGAGTTATTTCTACTGTCTGGCCCATGTTTAATCGTTCAATCAATATCATTAAAATAGATTTTCTGGTGATTATCATATTGCTGTCTTATGGGAGCTTGCTGTGTAAAAATTGCCTGCCATGTTTCTTCCAGCTGTGACTACCATGCAACAGCATGGAATTGGCTGTGACGCACTTCAGGATGTCCCAACATCGTGAAAGGCAGCGTCTGTGGACAGAAAAAGAGGATTAAAATTTCAGAGCAACTCGGCTTCATCAGTTAGCCCCAGTGGAGGAATTGACATCTGATAATCAGAATTTGTTGAGTTTTATTTCCCTGGTCCACAGCATCAACAAGATGGTCTGAGATCAGTATAGAGTAACAAGTGAAGCTAAGGTGACCTGATTTGGTCTAGTTTGGTCTAGTTTGGAAATTTGAGTTAATTTCTACATCTCCATTGAAAAAACTTTCAACTTGCTCTTTGATTAGCTTTGTACTGAGAGGACAATTGAATGGTCAATAATAACACAAAAAAAAACTTTGCAGATCCTTATACTGGGAAACTCTTGGTATGATGCCTTGAATGTTTTCACATGCTTTTTTTACTCTGAGGAAATCCAATGTTGCGTTTTTGGTCCTTCTCCTACAGCCAGGGAGCACTGTGACTGTAGGTACCAGCCCCAGTTTGTACAACACATAGAATTCTACAGCTCAGAAATAGCTAATAATTACCCAACAAGCCTACATCAATGTTTATGCACCACATGAGCTCCTGCTATTCCATTTCACTTCATCTGATTGTTGGCCATTGTATTTACTATGGTAAAGCACTGATCAACTGTGAATCATAGAATCATAGAATCCCTACAGGGTAGAAGCAGGTTATTCGACCCATCGAGTCCACACTGACCTTCTGAAGAGCATCCCACCCAAACCCACTGCCCTAACCTATCCCTGTAACCCCACATTTCCCATGGCTAACACATACATCCCTGGACACGATGGGTAATTTGATACGGCCAATCCACCTAAACTGCACATATTTGGATTGTGGGAGGAAACTGCAGCATCCGGAGGAAACCCCACACAGAGATGGGGAGAATGTGCAAGTTCCACACAGACAGTCGCCCGAGAGTGGAATTGACCCGCGAAGGGTGACATTGGTGCACTTTTGTCAACTTTACACACTTAGTTTGGGGAGTAAGTCTTTCATTCACAGCAAGCTCTTGAATAGCCTGCCTTGCTTGCTATTTGTTAATATTTTATGAGACACTGAGCCTGTTTGGCACAAAGGCCATCCAGATTTGCTGATATCCATGTGTGATGAAGTGTGGCAGGTCGAATAGGTACAATGCTTCCTGACAGGAACGTTGACAGATATATGCATCCATGTCAAAAGTGTCAGCCTGTACAGACAGGGACTTTCTCAGAGTCATTCCTGTTTCATTCTATAACTTTGCGGAAGGATAGAGGAAATCCCATTAATGGAGATATATGAGATCCACCATAACTTTGGCCAACTTATGACAAAAGCTGCTCTCATGAAATTCAGATTCATATTATTCAGAGTTGTGTAAGCACCAGGGGCCTAGACAGAGTCTGGCTGAATTATATTTCAGCATCAGTCCCACTCCCCAGAGCTAGTCCTTTGTGTAGTTCCATTCTCAGTGATACGTGCATGTTGCTCAGTTCCCCATTATCTGCTCTATGCTCAATTACCTTGAGTCATTATTTAACACATAGGTAAGCACAAAACCACTAATGAAGTAAATGGTTCCATATTGTTGGAGAAGGGAAGAATGTTGCAGTGCACACATTCAAGATTTTGCTATTATAGCTTTAGGACTCGGAACAAACTATGTTCCAATATTTAGTAAAAAGCAATAAGATGGACAATGTAGAAATTGCAAATAAAGACAGAAAATGCTGGAAATACTCAGTACATCAGCCAGCATCTGAGACAGTAGGGTAAGGTTAATGCTTCAGGTTGATTACTTTCCATGTATTCTGAAGAAAGCTCATTGACTTGAAACATTAACCTGACTTTTCTCTCTTGCTCGGTACTTTTGGCATTTTCTATTTCAATAAGTTGCTGCTCTTATTCAGCATAAAATCAATACCGTTCCAAAACTGCTGTCTTGCCATGTTCGAATGGAGGAAAGAAGACTTGAATTCAAAACCATTCATGAAAAAAAAACCCCCGTGATCTGAAGTATCATAGCATAGGGAAATTAAAGATTGATTAGCCAGAGAGAAAATGATGAAATATAAACTGCTACATTGCATAAGGAAAACAATGACATGCATTCAATTTCATTGCATTCCTGCATTATTCTGTTTTGTCTTGTTGCATTTCAGGATTTTTATTCTTGTGGTTGGAATTGTGCTCCTTCTCCAAACTGTCATTGTCAAGCCTGAGGTAAGTAGCATTCAATGAGTGAAAGACTGACTGATTATGGGAAGTAACAGATATGTGAAAGAAATGGTAGGCACACAGCCAGCCTGAAAGCTTGCATAATATCTAAATTTACAACTTGCTGGAAGTTGCTCCGCATTATTATATAAAATTGACGCAGTGAGAAAGAATAGATTAACATTAAGCAACCATGCTAAGTAGCTTTTGTTTATCTACTAGTATTAAACGGAATTTGTCCACTTGGCTCCTAGCCCCTTTATTATCTTGGTACAAACATGGGCACAAAGGCTGAATTCCAGACGTGAGATGAGAGTGACTGCCCTTGACATCAAGACCACAAAAATTACATTAATGAGGATTGAAAGGGAAACTCTCCCCTAGCAGCTACTTAACACCCTGGTTATAATCTCTTCCAATCTCTTCTGTTGGGCAGAAGGTGCAAAAATGTAAACACATGTACAAACAGATTCAAGAACAGCTTCTTCCCTGCTGTTATTAAATATCTGAATGGACCTCTCAAAACTTCAAAGTTAATGTTGATCTCATTCTTTGTGCACCTTCTCTGCAGCCGTAACATTGTATTCCTCGCCCTGTTATATTATCCTAATGCACTTTGTATGGTATGATCCTTCCGTACTGCACGCAAAACAAAACTTTTTATTGTACCTAGGTGCAGGTGACAATAATAAATCAAATCAATGGGAGATGGTTCTGGCTGCTGAAAGCAGTCCCAGGAATTCCCTACCATTTTCATCAATGATTTTCACACCATCGTAGGGGCAGAAGTGGGGATGGTTGCTGATGTTCATACAGTGTTTAACGTCAAAGGAAATCTCTCAGTTGCTGAAACAGTCCAATGCTGCATATCACAAGATCTGGAAAACATCCGATCTTGGACTGATGAGTGGCAGGTAATGTTCACACCATACAAATGCCAGACAATGATAATCTCAACTGCAGGATGATTAATGAAAACAAGCAATTATCATTTAGAGTTGACAAACATTGCTTTTATTTGTATAAAATTTCTTGACCTACTATTTTAACAAGGGCATTGAGTAGTTTAAAAAACACAGATTAATGGCTGTATTTAAACACCGGATGATGAAAAATTGCAACATACATTAAGCATTTAACTACTGTACTTCACAACAATAATTTCTAGGCTGCTGTAAATTCCAAATATTTAAACCAAATATCAGAAGTATTAAGGTGTAGAAGTTCCACAAGGGCATCTCTCAATCTTCTGCCTTAACTTCTGCAGAATCCCTGAGCAAGAATATGAATAGTTTACCCAAACAACTAACAGGAAATTGGGAGAACTCCAATGAACATTCTACTCCTCAAATTAAATGAAAACCATTGCTTACTTTTAAATATAGGGGCGGCATGGTGACTCAGTGGTTAGCACTGCTGCCTCACAGTGCTAAAAACACAGGTTTGATTTCAACCTTGGGTGACTGTCCATATGGAGTTTGCACATTCTCCCCGTGTCTGAGTGGGTTTCTGCCAGGTGCTCCAGTTTCCTCCCACAGTCCAAAGATGTGCAAGTTAGGTGGATTGGCCATGCTAAATTACCCATAGTGTGCAGGAATGTGTAGGTTAGGTGCATTAGCCATGGGAAACACAGAATTACAGGGACAGAGTAGGGGGATGGGTTTGGGTGGGGTGCTCCTCAGAGGATCAGTGTGGACTCATTGAGCTGAATGCCCTGTTTCAACACTGTAGGGATTCCATAAAGAAAAAGCTCCGGGCATTGTAATAATTCCTTAAGTTTTTGAAATTCTCTTTCTATTGGAAATAGCAGAAACTTCGCACTGTGTAGCTCAGCCATTTTGACCTTTGTAAGTTGTATCATAAATAATATGGCAGACTGAAAATTTACTGTATGAAAATGCATAAAACAATCGTAAAATACCATCACAATAGATTAAAGTTGCATGCTGAGGCCACTTATTCATCCCCAGGATGTTGGCATCACTGGCAAGACCAGCATTTATTGCCAATCCCTAACTGCCTTGAGAAAGTGGTGGTGAGCTGCTTTATTGAAACACTGCAGTCCACATGGTATAAGGACACTGAAAATGCTGTTAGGAATAGAGCTTCAGAATTTTGACCCAGTAACAACGAAGGAACGGCAGTAAGACTCCAAGTCAGGGTAGTGAGAGAACTGGAGATGAACTTGCAGGAGGAGGTGTTGCATACATCTGCTGCCCTAGTACTTCTGGGTGGTAGCATCATGGGAGGTGCTGCCTTAGCTAGTTTACTGCAGTGCATCTTGTAAATAGGACACATTGCAGCCTGTGTGCAGCAGTCATGGAAGGGGGTAAATATTTAAAGCAGTGAATGCATGTGTTGATCAATTGGTTGCTTTGTCCTGGGTGATGTTGACATTTTTGAATGTTGTTGGAGGCACACTCATCTAGGCACTCCCGTCTTGTGACTTGTACTTGATGGACAGGCTTTCTAGATAGGAGTCAGGAGGTGAGTCACAATTGAATCCCAATCCTCTGCCTTCATCTCGCAGCCACACAATTTATGTTGTTCATCCAGTTAATTTTAAGATTAACGATAACTTCTTCAGAAAAAATGAAGGGTCTAGGCCCAAAACGTCAGCCTTCCTGCTCCTCTGATGCTGCTTGGCCTGCTGTGTTCATCCAGCTCTATACCTTGGCATCTCTAATATTCTGGGGACTTGGGTTTGAATCCAGCCATGGCAGATGGTGGAATTTGAATTCAGTATATTTAAAAAATCTGAAATTATGAATCTAATGATGACCATGAATCGATTGTCAGGAGAAAAACCCATCTGGTCCATTAATGTCCTTTAGGGAATGAAACTGCCATCCTTACCTACATGTGCCTCCAGACTGGCAGCAATGTGGTTGACTCTCATCTGCCCTCTGGGCAGTTGGGGATGGGTAATAAATGCTGACCTAGCCAGCAATGCCCTCATGCTGTGAATGAATAACAAAAACAAGTGGCATGTTCAATGATGGTATTACCTGTGAATATCAAGACGAAAAATATTGGCTACTCTTTGATTAATGCCAGCTACTTGTGTGGCATGAGTGGACATTAATTCAAATGAATGAACTGTCCTGAATTCAACTTCATTTGGCAGTGACAGATAGATTCTACAGTAATATACTGGGGTTGTAGATGTTGGCTGCCAAACATTGAGCTGAGGTGAAAAGCTTCAATGATCTATCACCAAATGGGGAGGGGGCAATGGCCTAGTGGTATTATCACGAGACTGTTAATCCAGAGACCCAGGTAATGTTCTGGGGACCTGGGTTTGAATCCTGCCACAGCAGATGGTGGAATTTGAATTCAGAAATATCTGGAATTAAGAGTCTAATGATGACCATGAATCCCTTGCTGGTTGTTGGGAAAAACCTATCTGGTTCACTAATGTCCTTTAAGGAAAGAAACCACCATCTTTAACTCATCTGGCCTACATATGACTCCAGACCCACAGCAATGTGTTTGACTCATAGCTACCCTCTGGGCAATTAGGAATGGGCAATAAATGCTGCCTGGCCAGCAACATTCTTATCCTGTGACTGAATAAAGGAGAAAAAAAAAGCCCATGAGAGGTCACAGTTGAAGGAAGAGCAACTGTCACTGTATTTCAGGAAATAAAATTCCACTTCTTGATATGTCAAAGAGATTTATAAATCTCATGTCCATGGCTGCACATCTGAAACAGTATTTGAAACATCCTGATGAATCATCAGTACTTTCATTGCAAAGATCAAAGTCCTGGTATTTGCACAGTCTGGCACCTTAGTTGGTTAAGTGGGACAAACTCTGTGAGCCTGCTAACACCCAAGACTCTCACCCAATACTTCTTCATTTACCACTGGTACAATTTTGTTGTCAGTGATAATTGAGCAGTAAAATTATAGAGTCCAAATTGAGGGCCCTAATTGTTTAGCACTTCTGTGATCCATGTTTGTTTGATAGCCTGAATGTTAATGAGTATCAACAAGAGAGAAATCATTGCCAGTTTCAACATGCCTGGCAAATCCAGAAATTGAATTATGACTAGTTTCAATGTCCAACATAAATTCCAGATTGACAGAAAGCACGTCAACTTAAACTTCTGCTTCCTGCTGCTGTATAGCCCTCACATGCTGAATAAAACTAGATAAAAGGGCATCTTTAAGGTTATTTTGTCTAAATGAAACAGCCATAATCTTCCCTAGGTAATGTTCCGAGCGCCAATAAACAATTAAGGAGTGTGTGCAATTATGGCATCAATTCATTAAAATTAATCCCTCAACAATCAATTAAGTGATGACCTTAATGATTATGCTGGCTTTATTCATCAGTAAGCTCAATATTTTCCAACTCAAAGTGCAAACTGTTGGGTAAATATTAGCCAAAGTTCGTTACAATCGACCATCATTATTCGACTAATGGAAATTAGTTATTTTACAAGTGGAGCACACATTGTTTTTTCAATATTCAGCTTTTATCCATTTGACTGCTTTTTTACATCCATGTAGGTGATAGCGATCACATCACAACACTGAAGAATAGCTAGCTGTTTAACTGTTGCACTAAACAATAGTATATACATGATCAGAGGTCTAGTATTAACAGTTGGGTGCATGGTAATTGATTTTATGCCCTGCCTCAACAAGGCTCTGTAATTACATGTTCAGGTGAGACTGTCCTATTCCATCCATGTGACATTACAATTTTGAACCCTTGATCCATTGAGCAATATTCCACTTTAGTGTCAACCTATGTCAAATTGTGGGAGAACCAAACCTACTTTGAACTTCTTTAACTGAGGAACGCTAAGAGCCCCCAGTGGAAGGAGAATGCAATTCTTTATCTATGAGCCTAATGTCAAAGAGATAACGTCTTAACCCCTGTGCCACCCTGTGCCTAAATTACCATAACATTTCAATATCCTTTTTGGTTTTGTACTCAACAGAAACAGCAAGCAGAGGGTGGAATTCCTCATGATGAGCCACTGAATGAACCAGAGGAAGATCGAGATATGATCTATCACAGCCTGCCAGATAACCTTCATCACAACCTTCAGCCAGAGATGGTTGTGTTACATGAGACACCATTGAATGAGCCAGAAGAAGATCGAGATATGATTCATCACGGTGATTCAAATATTCTTCAACAGGAGTTGCAGGCAAAAAGGGAGCACGACACAGTATTAATTGAACCAGCAGAAGATTATAACAATGCTGAAATTACTGGACATAAACATCATGTCAAGTTGGTTTTGCCATATGAGCCGTTAAATGAGTCTGAGGAAGATCGAGATATGATGTATCATAGCCTGCCCGATAATCTTCATCACAACCTCCAGCCAGAGATGGTCAAATTACATGAGACACCAATGAATGAGCCAGAAGAAGACCGAGATATGATCCATCATGGGATATGAAATCCTGATTGTCCTCCAATACAGTTATATAGAACAGGAGATAGAAGATTTGATTCATCACTGCATTAATTTAAAGCTGCAGGAAACAGGACTGATGCAATCAGAACAGTTTTGAAATACCAGAATTCCATAACTCAACAATGAAAGTTATTAAGATCAAAACAGAAATGAAATGTCTTTGAGAAATCAAGTTTCCAAGCGCTAATTTAAAAACAGAGCGGAAAAATAATTGCGGTCATTTCATTGCATTAGTGTTGGAACTATTTTGACTCATCACTGCTAAGTCACATATTGTGTCTTTAATCACAGGCATCAAGAATTAGCAGTCAAAAATGAACAAGGCCCCAGAAAGGATAATCCTTCCACCAGTACTAAAAAATAAATCGAGTGATGACAATATGTAAACCATGACATAATGCAGTGAGATAATAATGGGATTTTTTTTGAGTTACTGTAGCACTCGGGAAGTGAATTGGGAATCTCATTTCCACTACAAAAGGAGTTGGCATCATCTTTTCCGCAAAGTTATGCTGATCCATCAAGAACAGCTCTGTGCAAATTCTCGGCAAAATGTGTCTGAACATATCAAAGCTCTATCAAGAATTCCTCCACCTCAAAGTTTAAAAGATATTTATCGATCTTAATGAAGTGAGTTGAAGGCCTTCCCAAAACAGCTGAGCAAGGAAAAACAGATTTAATATTCTTATCCCTCAATGTTAAAATTAATGCTATGAGTTTAAGAAACAAATTAAATATTCAGAAGAAATATTTACCACATTAAAAACCAAAAGAACTTCAGATGCTGTAAATCAAAAATATAAACAGAAGTTGCTGGAAAAGCTCAGCTGGTCTGGCAGCATCTGTGAAGAAAAAATCAGAGTTAACATTTCGTTCAGAGGAAGGTTCACTGGACCTAAAACATTAACTCTGATTTTTTCTTCACAGATGCTGCCAGACCTGCTGAGCTTTTCCAGTAACTTCTGTTTTTGTGTCTGCCACATTATATTGCTGCTCTTCACTGCCTAACTGTAGGAAATTAACAACCACAGTGATTGGAGATTGAATTAAGTTTGAACTTTAATTACACATCAAAATATTTTTACAGATTCACTCTGTTTAATGAAAGCTTTTCAATTATCTCACTGACTTTTGATTTGTTTCTTTGGGGGTTTCAATTGCATCATGCAATTTAGGTGCTGATGTTAGAAAATAGTGATACATAAATGTACTCAGAGATGCTGGGCAAATAGATGCTGGAGTCCGAGATAACACAGTGTAGAGTTGGAGGAACACAGCAGGCCAGGCAGCATCAGAGGAGCAAGAAAGTTGATGTTTTGGGTCGGGATCCTTCTTCAGAAATGGGGAGGGGGAAGGGAGCTCAGAAATAAATAGAGAGGGGAGGGATGGGGCTGGGGAAGGTTGGAGGGATGGTGGTAGATGAGTGCAGGTAGGGAGTGGTGGGGATTGGTCAGTGAGGTGGGAAGAGCGGATAGGTGGGACAGAAGATGGACAGGTTAATAAATGCACAGCCTCACAGCCATCAGGAAGAAGGATTAACTGTGTTGCATGTTTCTTTCAGTGAGCACATTGTCAGCCTTTGGAGGAGTTTGTTTTTATACTTAATATGCTACAGATTCACATTTTAGTCCAATGGGGAGATGATTCTGTTCCCCACCTATGAAGGCTTGTCCCTCATTACCATTGGGTGAAAATGTCTTAGTCGGGCTCCCCTCTTGCTAGCTGTAGCCTTCTCTTTGGTACAGGTCTGCCCTCTCCACTTTTACCCCACCATGCCAAGGTGTGATGGGTAATGTCTGAGCCCTGAGAATCCTGCCAGTATTCCCCACCTGCTTCCCCAAATACAACAGACACCTCCTCTTGAGGAGTCCCTCTTTGTCCTCCTCTCCCTTCGATGGGAGCTGGGTGAAATCCCAGGAAGCCACGACTGGCTCCTCACTCTGCACCCATCTCTCCTCAGAAACTTACAGCTCCGTCAATCCGTACATCCCCATTCCAGATTTCTTCCAAACTTCATATTCTCCTCCAGTTAACTCTTAAAGAGCTTTTAGTTGGCTTCAGTAGGGAGGAAAGCATAACCCTTCTTCCTGTTTCCCTGTATCCTGGTGAATATTGTCACTGTACTAGTATAGGACCATAGGAATTAGGAGTGTGAGCAGGCAATTAAATCCTTCCAGCCTGCTCTGCTACTTAACATGATCATGGCTGATCTTATCCTGATCTCAACTTCACTCTCCTGCCTGTTCCCCTTAGCCCGTTATCCCAATTTTCATCAAAAACGTATCTATTTCTTTTTTGTCGGAGCAAGTGACTGCAGATGCTGGAATCTGCAATGGAAATAAAAAATACTAGAAATCACAGCAGGTCAGGCAGCATCCATGGAGAGAGAGCAAGCTAACGTTTCAAGTCTAGACTGACACAGCTTGAATCTGCTTCCCATTTAAATAATAATTTGGCCTTTTATTTTTCCGGCCAAAATGGGCAACCTCACACTTATCCAGATTAAACTCCTTCTGCCAGATTGTGGGCCATTCTCCTTGTCTAGCAATACCCATCTATAAACTCTTTATCTCCTCATCACAGCCTGCTTTTCCACCTATTTTAGTATCATCCATGAATTTTGCTAATGCTGCACTCTGTCACTGCTTGCAGATCATTTCTCTAGATTGTAAATAGTTGAGGTCCGAGAAGTGAGCCCTGCAGCACCCCACTGGTTACAGTTTGTCATCCAGAGAAGGACCCATTTATCCTGACACTCTGTTTTCTATCAGGCAGCCAATCCTCTATCCAAGCCAATGCACTAATCCGAACCCTCTGGGGTCGAGCCTATTTTTTTTGGATCCCTATCCCCAGTCCCCCACTTTCACTCCTTCTATCTCTAATCTAAAGAGGCTAGTGAATTCAGCTTTATCTCTTATTGAATATGTAATGACTCTTATGAAAGGGATAGACAAGTGTCATTTAGACAGGGTGTAGAGCTGGATAAACACAGCAGGCCAAGCAACATCAGAGGAGCGGGAAGGCTGACGTTTCGGGCCTAGACCCTTCTTCAGAAAATGAAGAAGGGTCT